GAGAGAGAGAGAGAGAGAGAGAGAGAGAGAGAGAGAAACGCACTCGTAAACACACATGCACACATGGACGCGCACGCACACGCGTGCGGTCTCTCATAGACTGACAACTAAAAACAAAAACAAACGCAAATGACCAGACACAAAATATCCCTGCCCACATCAGTGAACGACAGGTAAACGAAACAATTTCAACTCCACGCACAGTAAGCTACAGGTGTAATTAACAACATGATTCCAATAAAAGTGTATTTCTTGTAATTTTAAATTTTAAAAATCGTTTGATCAACTCACTAGCAATTGTGAAAGACTTCAACACTAAGGCTGGCCGTCTCGCTTCCTTCAAACACACTGGACATAACAAACACGCTAGTCTAATGGAGAGGGGTGGGGGGAGCGAGGGGAAAGACAGTCTCTATCATTATCGGGATATGAACTGTTGACCTCACGGCCCATGGAACCCCAGGCTTAAGAATGAAATCAGCCTAACTCTCTCAACAACTTCAAAGCCAAGTGCCCGGCATGTTATTTCGTCTACGGTACGTTAGGTATAGGTTTAACGCCCCCATGGTGTGTAGGGTCACTAAAACTAAGAGAGACAGAACCTAGGAAGTGAACGTTTATCTCCGATTAGACCACACAGAGAAAGCGGAGGGCCGTGAAAAACTACGCAAGCCTCCCAAATTTGTGAAAACCCAGTTTCGGTTTCGAACAACTGCCACCCACAAGGTATTTCAAAGTGAAAAAGCTAACGCATGATACCATAAGAGTTTTAAAATGGCAAACAGATAGGTTGTTCAGTTGTCTAAATATTGACAATCTATTATGTCTACACCCATCCCCATCTTCCAACATACCCCCCCCCCCACCACTCCATCCAAACCCTCATGTCTCAATACTAACAGATCATAATATTTTCTTGGATTCAATGGTCAACATGCCAATTATCCTAATATTTTGTCTAAAGCAATGATACTCTGTATTCGAAACTCTTTTCTAAGGGCTTTCGTTGTCTTAGTGATTAGCAAGCACTTTCACACTTGTAAAAAAGGAGTTTTGTTATTACTATGACACAGATTAGATTATTTACCCACTGCCAGTTAATTTATCAGTTATTGTTCCTCCCTTTTCCAGTGACATTTTACCTCCTCATTTCTAACCCTTTTTTCTAATATATAAGTCTCATTTAGGTTGACGGAACATCGTTTGAGATGCTTGAGTAATAAAAATAATAATTGCCTTTATTTAGCACAAATCCATGCACTACCTACGATTTTGCACAACCGAACAGATATCACAACTGGGAAAATGAGCCCTCATAGATATGCGGTAGATTTAGCGGCCAATGCCAATTTTTCATTCAATAATTTATTCCTGTTACAAGTCTCGTCACTCCATGGGGTGACCATGTGGCGATATGGTGCCAGACTAAGGTCATGTTAAGTCATTGACCGGACCAAAGTGCATTCAGCCGGCTACCCCCTCCTTCCTTTGCACACACGGTATGACATATCATGAAATGTGCACAACCAATGTAAACCAGCTCTGGGTTACGAAGGTGCAATTCACCATGATGATATTGTTTTTCTTCATTCGCTTTTCTCTGCTTTCTTGTCCTTTTGGTTTAGGATTTTTTTCGAGGTTTGGACCACTTTTATAGTCAAGCATGCCTGTAAGAATGCCTACCATAAAATGACTTTTTAAAAATTATTGCACATTATGACAGAAAATGGGCTTATTTGGGATATTTTATTACAAGCCTACTGTAGGTGAGATCCTGTTGTAACCGATACTGTTATATATCAATGGGGCCCACTGAAGTGTTAACTCAAATCGGCGTCTCTGGTGAAATGATCAGCATGATCTTCCACTTGCCAAGCTACAAAACAACTAAACAACGCGAGTTCTATTCTCACTGAGGACCAACGCGCATTGGGGAAATCCCCATTGGTGACACGACTGCAAGTATGCAAATGAGACAATGTTTGCCAATCCGTCTCTCACCACTGCCAAGTGACGTCATACTCCACAGCTGTGCAACTAGTGGAAAATTCCCTGTCGCTCTCGTGTCCGAAAGGCAGAAATTCCATCGAGAATACCAATCTTCCTGCTCGAATGCTGTGTACGTACGTATTATGCAACCGGGTCCAAACATAACAGGACAGGCACAATCAAAGAATCCTTTCTCTTGAATATAAGATCAAGATAATTTCGCAATTTTAAAATTAATTTTTTTTTCTTGCGGGAGAGGGGTTAAAGGAATAAGGCCTACAATCTCCCAATATAAACCTTCAACAATAATCACCTTAACTGTGCAGTCTAAATATACCAATCTAGCCAAACTCAGATCCTGGCACTAGGCCCAGTCAGATACAGCACGCACTGAAATGACTTTTACAATTCTCTTTCAGTATGTACCTTTCTCAATGTCGTTACTTCCTGACAACAGCGGCGCGTCTAACACGGGTCAAAGTCAAAGGACAGGGTTAGGTGATATAAGTGCAAGCCAACCAGGTTCGGAGCAGGCAAACTACCGAAGTTATTTCATAACAACAAGCCACTGCATGGTGTTCTTGAAATTGGTTACGTGCAGAACAAAATTGTTTTTTTATATTTTCCTTCCTCCTCCTCCT